TAAATATGATTTACTTTTTTTTATGTTTTTACAAAAGGGCAAATTGCATGAAAATGTAACATATTTTGTCCTTATTCCTATTTTTGGTAACGTATTTTTAAAACCTTCATATTGGTACCTGAGATGTAAAATCTCAAACATTTAAGTATCTGAGTAACCGGTTTTAACAATTAATCGGTTATCATGCTGACATGACAATGACATATCATGCAATTCACTATTACTTGTTGACGTATCGTTCGTTACGATCAGTATAGTAACCGATTAACAGTTAAACCGGTTACTTAGGTATTTAAACATAAATTTTAAGTATAAGTGCATGTTGTGAAAATTTTATTTGTATAAAATATCGACTAGCATGAAAATTTGTTTATTAACTTGCCTTTGAGCTATGATTTACTTAAACTGTCCTCTTTGAAACTCTAACATAACTAAAACATGGGTCGAATGCATATTTAATTACATAAGTAAAAATGCTGACTCATGAAATAACACAACAATGTGTCTATTTTTGCTTATTTATAGTATAAAATAATGTCGAACAAACGTTTGTATGTCTCGTTATACCTACAGATGAAACAAATGTGTCCAACTCGACTCTTTTTCAAGTTAACAGGTAGTCCATAATCATAACGAACAAAATCCATACAAACCCAAGTTTCGTAAACCACAAGGTGGTAACGTGATGTATGAAAACGAGGGAATGACAAAATAGATCTGAGTTAAATCTTGTCGTCTAGATATGAGATTGGGCCATCGGGAGATTTATCTCATGGCTGTGGACGAAATTTACAGTCACGATTAACCATGGAATCAGTCTCAACAATGCCTGTTGAGTATTTACACAGGAATCTTGATACCAAAACCTCAGTTTTTATGTCAAATATTATCGTATTACTTTTTTAATACCAAGTTCTAATAATTATTAATGTTTGAAAAAAAAAACACGAGACCTACAAAATTATGTTCTAATGATTTACCGTTAGTGGCATATTTTTGTTTAAATGAATGTTAATTATATAATTCAGATGTAAATTTCGTAACGATTTTGAATAAATATGTGAAATTGTATAATTTTACCTATAAATTTAACACTATATTTTTCTAATGGATAAAACAGACAATCTAAACAAATTCAGACATTTATCAGTTTACAAAAACAAACAGTCTTATTGATTCAGATTTCAGATTTAAGCATCACTTCCTATTAATCAGAAGTTAAATAAGGCTTCAGACTTCAACACATCTTAAAAAACAAAAACCACGTATATTTGTTTTGGTTATTAATTTTATATAAAGATGTTAAGGTCTCATCATTATACATAATTAATCATATCTCAAAATATGACACTCAAGACTTGTTTCTCACGTCTCGTTAAGCATGTGGTACGCCATGACATAATGCACAGTTTTTGTAACACGATATTTGATTTTACTTACTTTTTAGTGTCTTATTTGTTTGTTTTTAATACATAACTTAACTTATATTGTTTATTATCATTGATTCATCGAGTAGTAGTAAAAAAACATGTTTATATACAATATAGGGAAGAGCTCAAACGAGAACATCTTTATTATACGAACGCGAGAACATCATTTTACCATAATCCATCACATGTGATACTAAATCGGAGAAGCGGACAACCTTTGATGCGACCTAGGTTGCGGGCCAACTAATCCGCACACCACTAGGCCCACTCACGTGTAAAATCACATGTGATAATGAGATACTACAATCCATCACATATGATACACATGTGATACTCGAACAATAACACAAACAACCTTTGGCACGAGTTTGGGTTACAGGCCAAGTCGTCCGCAACCACTAGGTGCCCTCACGTGTATTATCAGATGTGATACGAGTGTTCTCGCAAAAATTGAGATATTCTCGTTTCAACCTCCGCCTATATAATATTATATATAATATAATATAAAGATGGATATACATATACTGACAATAAATCAGCAAATCTGAGAGAAAGATAATGGCAAATCAATCAAATTGGAAGCAGGGGACAAAGAATTCAAGAACAAAGAAATTAGCCCATTAATGGCATCATACCTGATCAAGGTTTTTACAGTACCCACAAACATTACATTCCATTACAATGGAAGTTGTGGCAACAGATGGAGTCACCGGAGCCAGTGTGCCCCAACAATTCTTTCGATCACACATGTATGTCAAGAAGAAATAAGCATGTGGAAAGTCGTCTTCTCCTTTCATGGCATCACCATCTTCACCTTCCATTTCTACATCAGGGTCCTCATCCATAACAGCGGTGGGTTCTTCATCATCTTCTTCTTCATTGTTGTCATCCACATCTAGATCATCATCTTCATCACAGTCAGACCAGTTTGCTTCCACTTTGCATCGGTCACATTCGCAAACGAAACCATAATCATCCCTGAGCCTCTTCTGCCGTTCGGAATACTTGAGGTTAACTGGAAAGTAACTCAAACATATTTCTCTACCTTGTGGAACATCGTGGATCATCCTAATGGTGATATCAGTGTTGGATGATGCTGGTCCAGCAACATCGATATAATCAAATCTGCAGGCATTTGGGAGGCAATCATGGTTGAAGAAAGATGCCAGAGGATAAATTCCGTAAGCCCTGACGGATCTCTCCTCCCTCTCTTCTGAGAAAGGTTCCATTAATCCGAACGCATTCAGCTTGTCCTTTGCCAGAAGAACGCAAGTTAATTCCAAAGAAAACCCTAATTCGCGCGGAAATGTTGCGCAGAGAGAAGAAATGAAGGAATGGAGAAAAACAGCAGAGGAATCGGCATCAGGCTGAGAAGAAACAGAGCCTTGAAGGGACAATAAGGTCTGAAACCTAACTGGAGAGACAGAAGCGAGATTGTAAGCAGATACCAGAAAACGAGCTTGGAGCTGGAGGTCTAATCCTACATCGTGATCGGAAACGTATTGCCGGAATCGGAATAGGGCTTGGCAAACCCACGGGGTGTGGGAGGTGGCGGAAGCGACGGATTGGCACTCTAGGCTACAAAATCCACATCCGCAGGTAGAGCAAGAGGCCTTTTGAGATTGCTGTGAAACAGTGATGAAGCAATGGGAGCAGTAGCCATTGCTCTTCTGGTGATCATCCGACAGAAAAGAAAAGGCAGAGTAAAGAATGATAGGAGAGTCTTTGAGAACGATTTCTCCTCCTTTTAAAGGGCGTAGAGCCACCATGGCCCTGCCCCTTCCTTCTATCTCCGTCATCCGCACCGCCGCCGTCTCCATGTCTCTCTTCTTCCTGCTAGTGGTCGGGTTGCATGTTCTAGGGTTTAGAAGGGTTTTTCTGCTACAGTTTTACATATTTTCTATTTGCACCCCTGAATTATAGAACTATGACAATTGAACCTCTTATCTATGAAAAAGTGAAGTACTACGTTTCTAAAAATTATAATAAAAAAAACAAGGTCATTTTGGTCCCGAGTGCATTTGATACGCAGATGAGATAGAATAAAACCGGACTGGACGGAGAGAGTAAAGGTTTGCCAAAATAGTCCTAGGTTCACAAAAATTGCGGACCTAGCTAAACGGGGAAAAAATTACACTTTCTACTCTTATCCGCAAAAAAAATTACATTTTTCACTTACTTCCGCAAAAAAAAAAAAACTACATTTCTCACCCAGGTCGGCAAAAGAAATTGCATTTTTCACCCAGGTTCGCAAAAAAAATAATTGCGGACCCAAGGCTATTTTGGTAAACCATGTAAAAGAATTGCTAAAAAATAAATCCAATCGATCAAGCTGACTATTTTAATTACTTTCTCTTTTTTAAATGATTTATTCAAGTTATCACATGTTTTGGCTTATATATATATAGAGAGAGAAAGAGAGAGACTTGAGATCATGTGAGACCGAAGGTTTTTCGTGAGACCCGTAAGACTAGTTCTCAACCATTGGATTATATCTACAATCTGAACATTCATAATCACAAAATTGCCACGAGACTTATCAATAATCACAAAATTGTCACCGTACAACTTTAGACGATTAGATCATTAGCTTATAAAGTTGATCAATGAACATAAATTGGTCTTACGGGTCTCGCGAAAAACCCTTTGTCTCACGTGAACCCAATCATATATATATATATATATATATATATATATATCAACCATCATATAAATACATATATGTTAAAAATTCATAATCTTGGGATATACAGTTTCAAAATAATGTATGCACTATTGGTATCGCATCTCTGACTTGTTTTTAGAACCCTTCGTCAAGGGATAAAGATAGCATATCTAGAAAAAGAACTCGTATCCACCTTTAGTTCACAATGTTAACTTGGACGGTTCGTTTTATGGTTCATAAATCACATGCAACTGTTGGTAAAGATTCAAATGCATGTAATATCCCAAATGCAAAAGACATGAAATACTGCATGGTTGTTCATGTATATCATTTGGAAGTGACACGCTATAATATGTATTGTTCTTAGAAACACAAACACTCCATGGTAACCATGTCTGACGTTATCAATTTTCTGGATTGATGTTTAAGCACCCAATTCCGATTTCTTGCATGTAAGCGGTTTTCAATATCGTAAGTATTTTGCATTTATTTTTATTTGATTTCAATGGAACACAAAAACTATACACTTTTTCCGTATAATTCATTTTGCACTCGTTCTCACAATTTCTTCCAACTCTAAGACCTATGGGTCGTTTGACATCGCTAACCGATTAAACATTTACTAGGTAAGAGTCACTACCTTCACTTAATTTACTTGTAATATTATCGCTCATCAAAAACCTAGTATAAGCGTTTCTTGTTCGCCAGTAAACATTTACTGTGTAAGATTTTCAATATTTGTCATGCCTCTTACAGAGTAAGATTATTGGTCTTTGTCATGCTCACATGGTAAATTAAGTGCTTGCTCAATCAGCATTTGGTATATAAAAAAACTTAGCTTTTTTTGTTTAAAGTTATGTGATAAATCATTTATTTATAATATCGACACTCAAAACTTTCAATATTACGAAAAAGGGTAAATTCATACCCTTTTGTGTGAGCGTAAATGGTTAAAATATAAACGAAAAAGGGCAAATTCATACCCCTTTGTGTGAATTAGTGCGCTACCATTGTCGAGTTATGGAGAGAAGGCAGTGAACGGAATTGGCGGTTCGAGTTCTAAGAGATTGGGCTATAAGACATGACAAAGCCGCCGAAAGAGGAGTGAAAGAATCATTATAAAACTACGAGACTTGCTCGATACCAGATATCGATAATAACACTTTTTTCTTCGTAGACCGAGAGATCCATTAGAAAGGGGTGAAATAGCACCATCCGATGAAAGAGTCTGGTAATCGATCTCCTTTCCCAACGGGAGAGAACGAAATGGATTTTCGGATCACCTAATTCATTAGAATACCAAAAAGACTTGTTCATGTTCAAACAAGTTTCAACAATACCATCCTGAGTGTTAAAATCCTAGTTATAGTAGTTTATGAGGAATTTTTTATCACTTTTTTCAATTATAACCTCATTAATATTAACTATACATAAAAAGTAACAATAAAAATAAAAAATTAATTATTATTAATATTAACAAATATTAGTTAATAGTGATTAATATTAGCTGAAAATTATTAAGTCAATTTTAATTATACATTAATATTAATTATTATTTATTTAGGATTATTATGAACATATAAATTATTATTATTTAATTATTATTCAAAATAACTAGTTATAAAAAATTAATATAATAATTCTAATAAATTTTATGTAATTGTAAGCTATATAAAAAAAAAATTAATACTTATTTTGTTTTATAGATAATTAAAATTATTTAAATGATTTTAATAAAATATTTAATTTAGTTATTAATCATAGATTTTAAAAAATTACCAATTAATTAAGACATGTAAGGTTAACCAATTTTATTTTTATTTATATTATATATAATGACTATTTAAAATCATAAATTACTGTAGATTTTTTTCTAAAATTGTTAGCACATCCAAATTTTATATTTTATATATATATATATATATATATATATGTAATACAATCAATTTATTTATTTTAATTAACTTATTATATTATTTTGATTTTTCTTTATTATCATGTTTGTTTTACGATATTATATTATTAAATATTTATTTTAATTATATTACAAAATATTAAAAATGACTAATTTTTTAAGATATCATTTTTAGTCATTTTACATGTTTATTAGATAGTTTTTACCAAACATAATTTATTAATCAGCTAGCTTATCAATTACTAGTTAATTTATCAGCCATTAACTAACTTATCAACTATTTTACTAATTATAATATAAAAAAAACAACCATAAAAGATATTTAATAAAACGATAAATAATTGAGAAGTCAATTGATATTTATAATAAATAAACCCATCTATTTAAGGATGCGAATTGATCAAGCATTAGTTGGTAAATTTGAGTTTGACTTTTTTTTTCATAGTCAAAGTTGGATGCGATTATTTCAACTATTTTATATGAACATGTCTTAAATTTTAGGTTATATATTTATTCAATACTTGATGTAATTTGTCCATTATTTAATTAGGTTTTTTTTTTTGAAATATATAATATTTATATACGATAAATAGAATAAATAAACTCACATATCTTTCTCATATTTGGTGAGGTTTGAACCCCTGACCTTCTAGAAGGTCAAAGACTCACATACCAATAAGTCAAATACCTTTTTTTCTAATTAGGGGTGTTCATTGTTTGGTTTAGACAGTTTAATCCTCAAAACCATAAATCAAACCATAATGATGGTTTATAATATTTTTCAAACCGAGCTAACTCAATCTCAAAAATGGGGTCTGATCTGACCATTAAGGGGTTGTTTACCAATTTTTTTATTAAGTCCTGTATAGATAAATTTGTCTATCTGGATAAATTTATATGTCTGGATAAATGGATGTTGTTGTTTACTTTTTTTTATTTGAACCAATAGTCTAAATAACATAAAAGACTGATTTACCCCCCCCCCCCCCCAATATTAATTATTTGAACATCAAAACAAAAAAAATCATAAAGAGGCCAAAGATGAGATGTCTCATATGGGAAGGGGGCGGTGCTTTAAATAAGAGGTAAGAGTCTCATTTTTGTGGCCGAATGAGGACAACACACCATTTCTATCTATGCGATTAAGTCATGTTATCATTATGTGCGAATAAGCCGTAAGTAAACAACCCAAATGAGTTGTGCGAATAAGTCAGATAAACCAATAAGCCTAATTAAGCCGCAAGTAAATAACCCTTGAAGAGTTTGGGTCTATTATGGGTTTTAAACTAAAAAATAGCATATATCTCTAAAATAAAATTTGTATCAATATAACATTATTAAAAAAAATTATACTGAATTATAAATGAAACATCTATCTATAAAATAAAATAACAACGTTTTGCAAGTTCAAAAAGTTAAATAAGCGCACAAACAATAATTAGAATACTGGACAAACATTGATCAAGTCGAAAGACAATATGAAATTTTGGATTTTAGTTTTTTCATGAATTTCAAATTTTTGTCGATTTATTGAATACAGACAATTGGGAAATGAAATCTACAAACTTATTGCATTTGACATACTTCGTTATATTAATTGAGCCATAAAAGTCGAGCCTACAACCACAAGGGTGGTGCCTGATTGGTTTGAGCTTGGCTCTAAAGGTCAAAAGTATCAGGAGGTCCAGGTTCAAATCCAAGGAAAAATAAAAATCTCTTTGTGGCCACGGAGGTTCAAATGCGGTGACTCTGTGCTATCTGCAAAGCAGGTGGTCGCCCTGAAATTAGTCGGCTCGCATAGCAGGTTGAATATCTAGGTTAATGAAAAAAAAAAAGTCTGAGCCTACAACATGAAAACCAAATATATAATTAATACATGTGTATGTTTAAGGTAAGTGTGGTCCAAACCGCTAAAAAAATCCAAACAGAACGAATTTGTCTATTTTTCAGGCTGAAACAGATCGCTAAACCACTCAAACTGTCAAAAATGGTCCAATTTGACTTGATTCAGCCGGTTTTAACCGTCTAGAACAGAATTAATCATTATTTTTATTAATAATATATTTAATCATCAACGAAAAGAAATGTTGGTAGATCCGACCCAACTACTCATTAATCAAATTATAAGAAACAAATAAAAATTATATTTAATATAATATTAAATATTTTTTGATAATTTTTTTAAATTAGAATCTTAATTCGTAAATAAAAATAAGATAAGAATATGTTTCAAATTAAGAAGTAAACCCCAAAACTTGGTATTTGTTTGTGGAAAAAGAGAAGAATTTGGCAGACTGCGCTTCCATGGGAGGGTCAAGGGTGGAGTACTATTAAAGCTCTCACCTACCTGCTCGATCTGCAGACAATTCTTGGAGTACTTCTCTTTCTACTTTCTAGTCCACGAGAAGAACCTGCACCAGCACCAGAAGCATCGGCCTCGGCTCAGAAAATGGCCGTTCAGAGCAGCAGGTTTGTTGCACGCCCAATGGAGGTTCCGGCGATCGAAGCTCATCGCTTCCCGGCGGCGATCACATTCAATTTGAACAGCAGAGCCACCGGTACCGAGAATCTGTTTAAATTAAACATCAAAACAACCGCTAGTGTTGGTGGTAGAAGAGCAACTTTGGTTGGAGTGTTTGCACTGGGTGACCGTAACAACAGCAGCTCCGGCGGCGATGTTAATAGTAATACCAAGGGTAAGGGGGGATCAGCAGTTCCTAGCTCGAATTATATGGTGCCATTGGACAATTCCTCCTCATGCATCACTCGTCCACTAGCTGAGATTCTCCGAGACCTCAATAAGCGGATCGCTGATAACATTATCGTGAAACAATCTGATAATACTAATTCCGCCTTCATCCCTTGGTACATTTCGACATACACTCGCACAAACTCTCTCTCTCTCTCTTGGTGGTTCATTTGATCCGATTATTTTTAGGATGATCTAATAATATAATGTATTATAGGTACCATGCGAACAGGATGTTAAGCTTCTATGCTCCAGGTACGTTCGGCCATGAAGCAATCTCACATTATGCTCTGTAAACAATATCCAACACTTGAACATTGTAGTTTTTTTTTGCCAGGAAGCTGTATCAATCTCCAAATTTCAATTGTCATTTATAAACATGCTATGCACCTAAGTTTGCTACTACAATATCGATGCAGGGGAAAGTGGGAAAACCTAGAGTAAAACAGATGTGGGTATGGGATAATTTAGTGATCTATGAGGGATCTCCCTCAGGTTCGGTTCATATGGCCATCCAATAATATATTTAAAATTATGAACATGAACTTCGTCCATTTAGTCTTACCCAGGTGTTGTATTTAGTTAAAGACCTTTTTTTTAATGGAAATGAGAAATGCAGAGTTTCTAGGGATGTAACATGTAAGCTTCCTTAAGGTAGAGCACTAAGAAACTCTTGAGCAATTACCACATTTTGTGCTTTCTGGTATATAAATATCATGTTGTTCGATGAGAGTAGGTGATGCTTTGATACCTCCAAAGCAATATAGCGGTGAGAAGCAGTTGTCTTATGATCTTCAATCTCACTGAAGTTGAAGGGTAAGTTCTACATTGTCATTGTATGTTTTCCCAACAAAACATATGCATAAGACTACTAAGAGTAGTGTAGCAAAATGTGAATGCTGGAGGAGATGGGTTGGCCTACAAGATGTATACTGTTAGAAATCGAGGATAACAGTGTAAAGCTGAGGTCTTGGTTAAAGGGGTATGGTGGTACAGTGTCTAGGGTCCAGGCAAGCTTTTTAGTGCTATGGCGCAGTGTTGGTAATTGTGGTGCTATTGTCCCTTGTTTTTTCCTATGTTTTACAGTGCCTTTCTATCAGCGACATTGATGGTGAATATGGTGTCACTATCCCTTGCCGAAAATCATCCCTTTTCCAAATATTTTAGGCAAGGGATTTTGATACAGCTTGGGTTCAAAAAATGTTATGGTGTTTCAATGACTTAAGGTTCGAATGTATGGCAGTCGTCAGCTTTTTAATGGCAGCCTTGGTCAAGTTCCATGCTGGCATTTAGGGTATCATTTTAGTTGATTTTTGGCCAGTCTACATGTACAAATTTGGTTTTCAGATCATGGTCGTTTTGTGGAAGTGGGTTGAGCTTATTGGAAAACTCTTAGCAGCTGGGTACTTTGTTTAGTCCGTCTTCATATTGTCCCTCTATGTACCAGTTTCTTTAGTTTAACAATTTCTTTGCTGTTCCAAAAAGATAAAAAAAAACCAGGGGATTTATGAAATCAGTTATCATAATACAACCGAATTTTATTGATGTATATGGGCAACCTTAGATATAAAATAGCCAGAAGGGTTGCTATTATGTTTTGTTCTATCTCATTACTAGGCAATGATTTGTCTTTTCCACCTGCCCTAGAAAAGTTAATGATAGAATTCTTGCTGTTGTATGAAATTACATGGTGAGTAGGAGGAGAACAAGTAGGGGTCACCAAGAAATTGTTTTTCACAAGAGGATGACAGAGGCGGAGTTAATAGGAGTATAGGACAAGAAGCAAAGGGGTTAATTTAAATGTGATAGAAGTTGTCACCAAGGCACCCTTGGCCACTTGTGCTTTATGGGTTCCCTTCATTTGGAGCGGAGTCAAAAGTATACGAAGGATGTGTGAAATTTAGAATTGACTGTTTTTTTTTTTTTTTGCTGGGGGGATTGTTTAATTTTATACTTGACGATTTAAAACACCTTTCTTAACCACAAAAATTGGAGGGGAATGACCGCACGCCACTCCAGCTCTGGCTGTCACTGCTCTTAGAAAACAATGAGGGACGAGGAAACCAATATCATGAAAGGGAGCCAGAAGAGAAAGATCCAGGAAGCTTGAGCTGGAGTATGAGGTCACATGGGAACTTTGCAAGCTTATTCAACAATATTTTCCAACTTCCACCGAGGACAAGGTGTTCTATTTTGGGGGGGGGGGGGACTCTTTCAGTATCTATTAGTATTTGTATATTTATTAAACATACTTGAGTAGCACATGCATTAATGACATTCAGAAATGCCTTGCTACTATTAGTTTAACCAAAAAGAATTTATCTCAATTTCTTGTAAACTAAACCAAATTGTTTCTTAAGCTTTTTATCTATTATAGTTGCCACTTCATTTTTGTATCCATTTTCTTCCTGTACATCATAACTTCAAGCCTGTGTTTTCATTATGTCAATGTCCCTACCCACTTGAATTATTGGACACACAAACATCCCGGCATCTGTAGCGCCCTGACTCCTGAGCCTACTTCAACTCCCAATGAACTACAGAGAGATGAAGGTTAGAGTGAGAGTTGGACATTAGGAAAAAGGAAGGAGAAGATACGGCATTGGTGGCTCTCCCGGAAACTATAAAGGAGACAACATCTAGTGATACATCATAAGTTTGGCAGAAATTCACAATGTTCAGAAGTTTTACGGAGATATCATGACCTGCACTTTTGGCCCACCGATTTTTGAATCAAGTACCTAAGCAAAGCTTCTATCCATATCTTACGAGCGTTTATATTTCATAAAATAGCTAAGGCTTGTCTGTTTTAATGTATTTGGGTTTGTTAAATTGCAGTTTATCTGTTTGGTCAACTTGTATTTAGCCAGTGATACTAACTTTTAGATTTTATATTTCAAGGTCAATACCAAGCCTCATCTTCTTCTCTTACCTTACAATTTTTTCTCCAGGTTGGTGTGGAGAAATACGTGATGTAATTTTCTCAGATACTGGAAGTGTCACTGTGGTTTATCGTGTCACAGTCCGTGGTTCTGATGGAGAGGTATGCCTAAACCATTAACTCCATGTCAACACTATTGGTAGCTTGTTTTTCCCATTAGGCAGGCTTGAATTACTTTACATGCAGCAGATAACCTTAAACAGAATAGCTCGTAAAATTAGAGTTACAATACAAGTTCATTTCATCCAAACTCTTAAGATGGTTACTTTGGTTACGCGTGTAAACATCCAGTTCAATTTTGTAGGCATGCATTATCCTTTTCAATCATCAAAGTTTTCTCGGCTGCATTTATTTGTAGTGTCGTGTACTATTTTTAATTTTTTTTGTTTGTAATGAGATTTTGGTTTGGGTGGTGGTAAGTTGAGCTAGTGAGATGATAGACCGTATTCACTAGTTGATTAGGCTAGGATGTTTTCTAAGGTTGGATAACCCATGTACATAGAAAGGGATCTCCTTTAGGGAAACATATAATTTGTTGGGAGATCCCTGAAGGCCTGTCTTGTTTAAATTAGGATGAAATAATCACAGCTTAAAGGCAAGTTCAGTTTAGAGATTGGAATCCCTAGGTGCTTAATGATCTTTAGTATATTGTTTTATTTACAATGTTTGATAAAAATATTCCATTACAACATCAGTTCTAGTTTTTTACTTGGCTCAGTGCTCTTGCATGAGCAGGGTTATGTTGGCAAATAGGTTGCCGTTAGAGATATAGGATGTAATATGCTATATGTTCAGTGTCACTGTTTAGATTTATTTAAAGTTCTATAATTTTGGCTCACTGCCCCATCTTGTACTCTATTTTTTACTGCTTGGGTTAGTGATACAACATACATTCTAGGTCCCTTATATTACATTCTATGAGAGGCCTCTGCTATCCTATAAAACAATCACAATGCCACCTTCCTGACATTGCTGCTTCACTTATCACTCCGATGTGTAATTGCTGCCTGACTGTCACCGCTATTGACATCTTAGTAACAGCCTTTGACCATTGCCATTCTTTTGTATCACCTGGGTTTATTATATTATCATAATGGCTACAAAGTAAAGCTACTGAGATGATTGGGTGATGGTTATAACACACTCATCTTGTGGTGCCTTTGTCGGTATGCTGCTGGTGTGAATTAATTATTATAGAAGTTGTTGGATTCCCACATCGGCTAGACTTGGACCATTTCTCTTCAATATACATAGGAACCTTTCTTCTCTCATCAAGGGATCTTTTCGAGAGTAACCTAATGGGTTTCCATATATTCTCACATGGTAYTAGAGCCAAGGTCCACCACTCTAGGGACTCGACACTCTGKACAATCTTTGCCATCTAGTGTCCGTTGGAGCGGGTGTGGAGTCCCATATCGGCTTAGACTTGGACCATTTCTCTTCAATATATGTTGGAACCTCCCATCTCTACTCAAGGGCTCTTTTGGAGTGTAATTAATTGACGTTCCAAAGTATTATAAAAAGCTTTAATCACAAAGAGAAGTGAAAAAAGAAGAGGGAAAGAAACTAACAGGATAGGAAAGGCAGAGAGGAAATTTTGGTATCACATGCCATTAAAGTCCGCATATCCCACTCGAAAGTAGGGTCGGGGGTGGGGGGTTGGTAGGTTGTATGCAAAACATGTTCTTCACCCCAAGGGGTATAACAGCTGTTTACGTGAACGAAATGTGTGCACAAAAAGGTAAGAAGAACAATGACTAGTAAATAGTAAGCAACATAAAGAGAAAATATAGTAAGTAGGTACATTGATAAATAGAAAAGGTAAGGAAAAACACACATTCCTCTATCAATCATAGGACTCTTCGAACTCTCTAATCCTCCTTCCGTCCCACCCTCAACCTCTCTTATCTCCCTACTACCCTACTCCTGCTCTCCAATAACTCCCATTAAAGTTCATGTCCTTAGATAGACCACCATGTCCATCCTTGGCTGCTCATCCTGTGAAAAAGTGTGAGTTCAAAGTTAAGAGAGAGCAACAAAAAAAGAAAAAAAAGTTCTAGGTATAGAGAGAGATAGAAAAAGGTAAGAAAAAACACAGAAAATGGGTATCATGTACACCGAAGACTTGTGTAATATTTAACGTGAACAAAGGAGTATTTTGTATTCTATTCTATAGATTCATTCATAATGCATGTTGTTGTTTAGTGTCTTACTGAGAAGGTTGAATGCAGGCACACCGTGAATCAACTGGAACGGTGTCCTCAGCCACAAATGATGAGAACATTGATCCTGTTGCTGCAGCGGAAGAAATAGCCTTTTGCAGAGCATGTGCTCGATTTGGACTCGGGTTATATTTGTATCATGAAGATTAGATGCTTGCCAATGCCATACAGGATGTTGTTATGGAGAATAATATTTGATAAAAGTTTTATCTTGTGGGACTTGGGAGTAGTATGTAAAACATATATGCAGTTTATCCCTAAGAGATGTAATAAATGTTTGCTTAACTCCCCTTTTTTGATAGAAGTTTTACTTTTTCACAAGGCTGTTTATCTGCTCATGCTTTTATACATCTCTTTGATATGAGAATGAGATGATATACATGACCCAAGTAAAAATTGAAAAAGTAAAAATGACCGAAGGACATACATGCTGTTGATACCGAATCAAAACGAACCTAGTTGATCTCACACAGAGTACAATCTGCCCAAGGGTATAAAAGTTGTTTCTTTTTGGCTTACAAGTTCTTTTTCGCGAAAAAAAAGCTTCACAAAACTCTTGTGTTTATAGTTCTGTACCAATTGCAACATAACTTGGCCCATAAAACACCATTTTACTTGAGGTTTCTTGCATTCCAGGCACCTTATATGCAATTACAAATCTACATACATATACATGTACATCAGTTATGAGTCAAATCAGTAGGCACATAAATTACAAGTTACATGAAATTAACCATATTAACCTCCCCTGCAATTATGCATCCCTGATGTTTATATGTGTATTTGCTTGACATTATGGGTGCCTGCCTTGCTATGGCTTCAAGAGTTTTGTACCAGCATTGGTAATCATCCAAGAAGTGATTATATCCACAAGCAGGTCTAAGTCCTTCGACATGTCTGCACGAAGAGTTGGAGAGTCTACTCCTAGTGAATTGCTTACTTCTTTCGCAACTGTTTCAAATGGTGTCCCTGCAGTCAAATTTGCCCATATCTCGCCTCCGCGGTTTACAGCATCCACCATTCCTGGTGGAACATCTGGCAAAGCCTGATATATACAAATCAAAGTGATCATTCATTGATATTGGACGTTTAGCTAAAACCAAACCAAATCAAATATCTCCAGTATATCCTGCTCGAAAAGTACAGTCTGGGAGGGGTAGGATGCATACAGAACTTTCCTCTACCCCAAATACCAGATAAATACAAATCAAAGTAAGCATTCATTGATATTGGACGCTTATCTAAAACCAAACCAAATGTACCCGGCATATCCCACTTGAAAGCAGGGTCTGGGAGGTAGGGTGGTTTCAAAAGAATAATTATATTATACATACCTGCTGTAGTGGAAGTCCATGATCGCCAGGCAGTGAACGGATTGACATATCCAGCACTGAACTAATGGCAGAGTCGGAGCTAAGCACCTGAGCTAGGATAGAGGTTTCATCGATTGTATCGTCTTTGAATTTGATTAAGAGATTCCTTGAGATTCCGTAGTAAGATTTTATCTGGACAAATAGATCAATACTTGCATTATTGTAAACCAATAATCATTTGATTTCAGCTGAACAAGAAATTTTTAGAAACTAATTTCTTGTAAAATATTAATTATTTTTAAAAACAAGTCATCGTAGAAAACTAGTCATGCTTAGAAAATGCCACAAGAACTATGTTTTAAGAAACTATTCATCAAAAAACCACTTATATTTACAAACCCAATATTGTACAAACTTAAAAACCAGTTTTCATGTGTTGTTTCACATAGAAAACAACACATGTGAAAATGCAGTGTTTATATAATGTTGTTTCATATGTGAAACGTTCAGGACTGTTTTGTGTGTGGAAAAAAAATAGTCCTGAACATTCACATATGAAACAACACTCTATAAAACTGCATTTTCACATGTGTTGTTTCATACATGAAAACTGGTTTGTACAAATTATTGGGTTTGTAAGAGAAGGGGGATCTATGTACGTATGCAATACAACAAAATAAGTATTAAAGGCATGGAGCATAAATGTTGCCAGGAACTAGTAAATTGAGTAAGCACAACCAATAGTAGATTTACATACTAGTCTCTGAGTTTCTTCCGGTTTTGGACTGAAATTCTCTCTTCCACTAATCAAGTCCGTGTACAAGGGAGCAAGTTGCTCGACCAAAGGTATGGCTTGCTTCATAATGGGAGGACTGAGGTTCTCTAAATTTTTTAAAGTCATCTCCGCCTGTATATATAACAAAGGAACGGATTCATTATATGCATAATCAATCATCAAAAGCCAAACCCCCATAATCAATCCCTTGAATAATCATCCTCATAAATTTGAGATCAGAAAACATAACAGATGAAGTAGCAACATGGATTGATACCTTTGGGAATCCCAAAAGAAAGAGGAATATCTAAATATTAAAAGGAGGGGATACATACATGATTCAAGTTAAAAAATGTAACAAGTTCCAATAAGTAATCACAGAAGGTCCAAAGTAATGTTTCTTACCCCGAAACGGATTGTTGGTGACGATGCAATCTGTGACAGGATGGGTCCAAGACTTTGAGCCATTGGCAAAAGAACAGGTGAGAATAACGGGACAGCCAGGCTGGCATCCTGAAAGATCAGTAGAAATACTACTCGTGTCAGTCATGTGATATTATGTACAAGTGGAGGGAAAGGACAACTAAATGTAGAAATAACGTACTCAACCAAACACATGCAAGTTAGGAGATGAAAATTGAATGCACGAAATTTGATACATCAAATATTACTCTTGCATCATGAAAAGAAATAAAAAGACCCACACCCATGTACATAATATCTCACAGGGTATTGGTCTTGCTGAATATAGATAGCATTGTAAGAAAGCTAATATGCAATAATAGTACTTGGCATCCCCTTTTTCCTTGCATGGATCAATTCCGTTAAATAGTTATTTCTCCGGTTTATTGTTGATTCCATCATTAACTAGGTTGATGCTATCTAGTTGCGGCCAACGACCCAATGTAGTACTCTATATATCTGACTGTCTGAGTGTTCTAATAACAAAAACACATTCCCCTAATATTTACATTGTATTCCAGCTTTCAGAGCCTATAAATACAAAACCCGTCGTGCCATCACCCACCACCCAACGAACCAAAAAGAAAACCCTATCTGCCACGTAACAGCATTTGTCAATCAAAACCATGAGCTGGCGCCTCAAAACACCAACACAACCCAACACTGTGATCAAATGATCAGCCTCTATTAAAATAATTCACATTCGCAAACTGAGAATGAAATTTGTGTGTTTGATTGTTTCATGGAAAATTTGATTCTTGGTTGTATGGATAGTGGATTGAGTAAACGAACTATAGCCTCATCAATTGGTTTATCCAACCCAAGCTCATGAAATAGTCGTCTTGCCAGATCATCAATCTTCCACGATATCAGATTCCACCAACAAACACACAGTAATCAGGTATGGATCTTTGAGTAATAGGACAACCTACCGAATCAATGTGAGAAAAATCTGACAGTCTTTCCTTGATGCTCTGTTGCTTTTGAAATGATTAGGGTTATGATGACGTGATCATTGTTGAAATGATTAGGGCTATAATACAGTCTTATCTATGCTCCATTGGTGATATGAGGTACTGCTAATAAAGGGTCGATGAATCATTTACCCATTGACATGAGTGCTACTAAAATATAATAATTGCAAGAATTAAGCCAAAACCAATTTACAAACACAAGACAGATATGGAAAGAGAAATGGCCAAGTACCTTGTTGTTGAATGCCATATATACATTACCACTCCTCTGAACAGCATACCTGGAACCTGATCGACAAAAACTTAGTTGCTCTTCACCAGCTCTAGGAAAAATAATATTCTTGAAACCTAAAGGGCAAAATACCAATCAAAAGGTGGATGACGGATCCTAGAGAATGTCCAATGCCAAAACATGGAAGATCCTTCACCTATATGTAGAGCAACCTCAGTTCAGGCAAAATAAAATAAAATAGAAAGACTAAAGAACCAAACTTTCTGCAGGTCACAGTTTAAAGCTCACTGTTTCATGTAGAGACCTAAGACACCGGTCAAATTTAAACTGAACTTCGTCTGCGATGAAGAAGTGATCAAAGCCACTAGGATAAGGTGTTGCTATGACCAATACACCCCTGACAACAAGAAGAAATGTTATTTCTTTTTCTTGGATAAAGAAAATTTACTTTTAAAGATCCTCTCACAGGGATGGTTAAAAAAAGAACAAAAGTATCAACTGGTTTAATGTGCAACAACAACATTGTTATATTCATTCTGGTTTATGCTGGATTTGGGGTATATTGTGTTCGTTTATGATCACAAATTACATTGTAAAGATGATAATATGAGGGAAAAAAGGTAAACGGGCCAGCAAACCAATACATGAATAGTAATGAAGTGCAGTGTCCCTTACAGTTACAGCATGTCTAAACTGTTCAAAGAAGTTTCTACCTTATTGGTATATCCCAGCCTCCCTGGAGGACAAGGGTTCTAGCTTCATCAAACGTGAGGGGTGTGTTAATTTTGATAAATATAATTATTATATACTTTAAAACAAAGTTTCCACCTCTTGAAAGATACAAAGGGTGGGAAAGACAGTGACTAACAAGTTCAGTTCTGCTAGTACCAGTTGATAACGAAGTATCAGAGAAGTGAACACATGTATACAGCACAGAGTTGAAATTCACATATGCAACCAAAGGTAGGTGACAATAGCTTCACCAAATAAAGCAAAATAGTAGATGTTACGAGAAAAAACTAAAAAAATAAAGGAACAACATGACACGCTTTGGACCGTATTTCACTTTTCCATTTTGAATATTATTCCAAAATCCCACTTCCCTGATAAAGGAGGAGCGAAAAGAGAAGAGATTGGAGGACAGGGGCTTGATAAATGAACTAACCATACATTGACATATAAGACCACTTACTTCTCTGAAAGGCGCTCCAGAAATAAGCGGTAAGTGAGCTGAGGGGCTGCCCCAACAAAAATGCCACCAACAAAATGCACAACAGATGTTGGCTTTGAATTTTTTGGATTCAATACCCAGGCTCCCTGAAATTGCATAAATCAAAACCGAAATAAATATATTGAAGTCAACTAAAAAAAAATTGCTCATTTATATGGCCCCATCATTAGCTAGATCCAGGACCACACTTTTCCCTCCACCAAGATGACTTCAAGAGCCTATTTATATGATTCAAGCCTGTGATGCTAAGATCAAATGGAACAATCTCACCTTTGCTCAATAGCCAGCATTAGATTTAGATAATTATTACACTGGAAAGGAAGAATTTCCAACAAAGTCTAAGACTTGTATAAGTAGGTTCGGGACAAATATAAGAGATTTCCACGCATATGCCTTGCAATTGCACTTACAAATATTCAGACCTAATTGAGAGTATAAAGTTTAGTCAATTTTCAGATCTTCATTATTTTGATTCTCTATTTGATTTTTAAGTATTGTTCTTACACCAATGACTTCAAAATTCTTTCCTTGTTGGTCTGCGAAAAGAACAAGGTGAGGTTGGACCTTTTAAAACAATGGAAGGTTTGCTGCAGTTAATAAGGTAACAAACAGTTAAATCTACTTCTATTGGGATATTATGGTGCATAACTTAGTACAATGACTTCAAGTATATGTATATTTTCACATTCCCCAACTTCATTTTGTTGATGAGCGTACGCACAAGCTGATTCATGAAATCTCCCCAACATATCCATAAATTTAGTAAAAGCATTCCTTCACATTCTAGAATATTTGTAAACCTAACTAGCCCGCCACTCGCCAAAAATGTTGATTCATGCAGTATAAGAAATACTTTCTTAAAATTAAATATTATTTACGATCTAATCAACATGGACTTACATCCTATATAAGCAAAACTAACAATAAAAATAGAAACTCATCCTAAAAATAGATCAGCCTATTACCTTTATATAAGAAGAATAAAAAATGACAAAATACTAACCATTATCGTAATATACACATTAACATAAATTCATTTCCCCTAATCTTATTAACCATATTCACTTTTTTGTTGCCTCTCCACCATTGCACATTGTAGCATTTTAAACAATTAACTCCTATTTCCTTCCTTCTTTAGCCTAACTTCCTTTAAAATGATTCTTTTGTTATGGTTGCCGGAAATAGGATCATCCCCTACCCTTATTGCTACATATCTCGTTAGGGGATTGAAGCATGCCACCATGAGTTCGTGAGGCAGTGACAACAATAATATTATGGGATTTACTGATTCACTGAGATCAAACCACACATAACTATCACCGATTTCACCATTGCATCAGAACCAACCACCATGAAGGCTCAAGGCAAGTAATCCCCTTCCACAAGCTCTCTATCTCACTTATTCTGTGGATCATTCTTCCAACATAAATGTATAAATCTTCTTGAAGACCTCACATATTATTAACCAAGTATGGTCCAGAACACAAGTTACATAGAAGCTCCTTCAAGCTGAAATTTGTTTCATTAACCCTGTTTCAACCAAAGTATATATGTTCTCGAAAAAGATGATTGAGCTAAAAATATTACCTCAAGAACCTATGTGAGCTCTGTTGAATAAAAGTTGTTGGTGGAGGATTGTTGTTCATATTTGATCTACAGTTTTTTTTTTTGATGAACTATTGATAGATAGTTTCAAGTAACAAGCATGGAGTGAAAATCCGGTAAATCAGAAGTAGAAAGCTAAGAGCACTATAAGAGCTATACCTCAACTTCATGCCAATCTCTTGAACCGCCCCACCCATCTTGAGATTGCCTCACAGTCTCTGTGAGTAACCTGCAAAAAGCAGGAGCTGTGTATGGTCATCATGAACTCATACAGTGTACACAGCACATAATATACATCACAATGACAAGAAACAAAGAACACACTAGAAATCGAAATCTGTGTTTAATTAAGTCTAAGTTGCATTTTCTGCAAAGGATAAAAAAAGTGTAATATCAGAGGAAGAAATACAAGCTATTGTAAAGCAAGGTACCCTTTCATACTATTATGTTGTTTACATCCATATAGTATTACGAAAAAACACAATTTCTTTACAATAAACCCAAGAGCATGGTGAACCCAGCTTGGGTATATGGCATATTTGGCAATAACCCATTTCGCCTGCTAAAATATATCTTCTAAACTTGGCTTTTCTAAGTACTTTTTTCTACTACCTCCTACATACTATAAGAGATTCGCGAACACAAATTATGCAATTTAGCAATCTTCTTGTTTAAATGTGTCCGCATACTAACTAAGGAATCGTTTTTTTGACTCTCAATAAGTTATCAAATGGTTCCAGCACTTGCTTATGCAATGAAGCATGTCTCTTAATTAAGATTATTTGTTTTTTCATATGATTGGATCTTATTACAAGGTGGAATCTGTTTAAAAAAAACGGAGTTGATTATCTTGTGTTGCTGGAGGGATCCTTCAAACAGGACTTTGGAAAAGATGAAGGACAAACCTTTGCATGTTAATGAATCATAAATAACTGCAAGTTGAACCATTAATAGCAAGTCCAACGAATTCCTTAAGATATATGGACCTCAAGCAAAATATATTTATAGAGACTAGATAATGAAATACTAGAGGATAGATGAATAGCGAGAAGATGTCTTAGTAAAAGCACACCAGCATTTGTGGCTCCCTATGGTTGAATGGTGGTATCACACTCGCTACCATGTTGGCCTACAATCTATTCCTTTTGAAGTGATGTATCATGTATGGGTATGAGACTCCATGTGTTGCCTACAACCGATATGGTGAAATATGGAATTTGCATCCAGACAGAAAGACTTTCATGAGGGTCAACATGTTCCAAGTTTCCAAACAGGTTGGGCGAGGCACAAGCAAGGATTAAGGGATATGCTGACAAAGACAGACAGAAAAGGCCGTGCATTGTGAAAGATAAAGACCATTTGCAGTTTAAACCATATGGGGAGCTTGGTACAAGGTAATCTTAACCAGGTTTTGTAAAGGATTGGAAGTGCCACTTGTAAAACTCAAATTGCCTGAGAACGTAAAAATTCACCCAGTTTTTCAGGTTTGTGTGCTTAACAGACCCTGGTGGGAGAGACTACCCATACATCTCTGCAACTACCAGTTCTAGTTCCTGGTACAAGCCCAGGCAATAATGGATAGAGCAATAGTTAAAAAGGGAAAGGAAGCTCTAGTAGGAAACTAGAAGTACTTGTGGAATAGGCTAGCCCTTTGCCTTCACAGACCACTTGGGAAAGTTGGGATGCTTTAAACAATAAGTCTCCTCATATTCAATCTTGAGGAGAAACTGTCCTAATTCCTAAAGAGTGGAGAATGTAAGGTCATTGATAAGAGGATGGGTGAAGTTGTCCAAAAAGTGGGAAGGGTTTGAAATGTATAGAAGTTAGAATGGACGTGTGTTGGTCAGTTAGCAGGGGAAAAGGGTGCTAATAATAGTTGGGAGCTCACTCATGTATTCAAGATGATTCTCGTACAAAAAACTCTCTATGAAATGAAAAGTTTATTCCCATACCTCTCGATCTCGCTGTAAAGTTGGATTCCAGTTCGTCCTGGTTGGTTGTTGCTATTCTGGCCGTCGGAATTGCGACATAGTACCTTGAAGCTATTGACTTTGCGAAATCCAACAGATGATTGAGGATGATGATGAATACCATATAATCGTACATGACTCCGGCACAATTTAGATTCGAATTGTGGGGAAGCAAATTTCCCATACGACACCCACAACGAACTGGCCATGCCTATAGACGATCAGAATCGATAACATCAACCTCAAATATGATCAAACGTTGAAACAAATCACAAATAGGGTTTTATTATTCCATTTTCCACGTTCACAGTTACGGATAGTGTCCGGTATACTACTATTCTTGACTTCAGTTTTCATTCCAAGACTACAAATTTAGTGTTCCAAACTCTAATTTAAAGAAAGTTAACCCCTGTATCATTACTGTATATACAGCTAACCAAGTATTAAGGGATTGAATAAGTTGTAAAGTCGGAATTAACAAGAATTAGGGTTAGAAATTACTTGGAATTGGAGAAACCTGATAAAGGGAGGACTAGAGGAGAAGTTGCAACATCGTCGTTCGAAAGGGATGTTACAGAAGTCTAATCAGATGTGCCGTGCATGCAACAGTTTCTAACACTATAATTTTCATGGAAGCTTAAATCTTGGAGACTACTTTTTCCTTATCTTTCTAATAATAAATTAGAAAGATAATAAATCAAATAAGATATTTCTGAACCAAAACACTTATCCCGTAACTGGTAAAATTTCAACACTATCACTAACTTACCAGGTAAGATTTTAGTCCATCAACATGACATCGTATGCAACAATTTACCTTATGAACGCTAACCGTGGTAAGATTCATCACACTTACTTACCAGGTAAGACTCTTGGTCATTGTCTCGCTCTTATCGGATAAGATTATTGGTCTCTATCATATCCATCTGGTAAAATAATGTAACTTGATAAACACTTAGGGGTTGTTTGGCAATTGTTGAATGGTTTGGTGCAGAATGATTAAAAGGCACTCAAGATATAGTGCAAAATGAAATATAATTGTTTGGTAATTGTGTACAATAAAATTAGAGTTCTTGATGGTTAAGAGAGATCCATGATACAAAATCATTCAGAGGGAGAACCATTAAGAGACAGACTTTTTTTTGCCAAACAAGATTCACCTCTTAACAATTCAGATGTTACCTCTTAATGGAACTATTAAGAGGTAAACAAACAACCTCTTTACCCAAGTAAGCGTTTCGTAAAAAACCTCTACACATTTTTACCATCCCCTCTTCAGGAAAAACTATAAACATATAAAAAGCTGAGATACATTCTAATAACCATTTATCCGTATAATATGTACATATGTAAATAATAAGGGTTGTGACACAGAATGTGGTGGAATATCTCATTTATCCAGGATTCAATTCTGTACGTACATAACAATTGTGACCACTCACAATTTGTCGGGTTTAGTCCAGACATAGCTTGGTACCCTTCCAAAAAGAATGTACATATATACGATACCTTCAATTACTTGTATACACATATACACCTCTCTACATGTATACTTCAACACATGACTATAATCAAGTAAATTTACATTTCTTTGAGGAGGTTCAAATATGTCGATTAAATATCGTGATAAAACAAGATGGAAAGTTGAAAATACAATTTGTTTTCGAAAATGACATTTGATGATTCGTCGATCTTAAAACTTGGCTGAAGATGCATTATCCCATTTTTAAGTCAAGATAATACACATAAACTAAATAAAGATTTCTTGAATGAAAGATACAAAAATAAAAAATAAAAAAACAAATAAACAAGCAGGCTCTCCCTTTGATTAATCTCCAGAACACCATAGCTCCTCTCCTACACAAAATTGATGAGTGTATCAGCAATTCATTTGTCCCAAAAAAAAAATTTGATTAACCTGGGTATCCAACCCGCTATGCGAGCCGACTAATCTCAGGACAACCACCTGCTTTACAGATAGCCCGGAGTCACCGCATTTGAACCTCCGTGGCCACAAGGGGATTTTTATACCTACTTGGATTTGAACCTAAGACCTCCAGGTACTTTTGACCTTTGAAGTCAAGCTCAAATCAATCAGGCACCATCTTTGTGGTTCATTTGTCCCAAACTAAAACACCAGCAAGTGGGATGAAACTTTTGCAGCTGCTTTACTTTTCATTTTTTAAACTTAAATAGAAAGAACAAGTACAATCCTGCCAGTTTTCTTCACATAATCATCAATCCAGATTTTCTACCTAATGTTATCACTGAAATTGTTTAGCACAAGGAACTACCTCTGATATCGCGGTTCTTGTTTCGAATCTGAGTCCTCGCCTTCACAAAAATTGAGTTTTGTGACTTGTGAATACGCTGCAGTTGGACAAGAAAGTTAGCACCTCTCCTTAACAGTTTGAAAGGAAAAGGTCGACATAGAACGTAAAAGATAAAGTTGTTTCAGACGACACTCGATGGAGAAAAAGTAGGAATGGAAACAAGAAACCATGTACATACGTAGAGCAAATAGTGGAAGTGGTGTCATTGCCAGAAGCGGACATAAGTTTTTATTTCAAGTGGTGACACCATTTGACTATAAGAAAAGTTAGTTCTTTGCTTTTCACATGTGAGATCCTGTGTTCAAGTTTTTTATTGCAATTTTTTTCTAAAACATAATAAATTTGAAATTAAAAGCTAAAAACTAAGAAAAATGACACAAACAGGATTTGAACCCGGGTTTGGGTTGGGAGAAAAGACATGCAACCCAACTCTACCAAGGGAACTTGGGCATTCATTGCAAAATTCAACGCCAATAACGTCCATGGCGTTAATGACATCAGCTAAACTTGGACTATTTATCGGATAAATTTTACCCTCAATATATGTTAAGATACTCCCTTCTAGCAATCTGGGAGTTCAATGTATTCTCACATGGTATCAGAGCCAAAGTCTACCATCTAGCATATCTTTGATCGTCTAGCCTATGTTGGAAGGGGAGTGTCAAGAGTCCAGCATCAGCTAGACGTGGACCATTTCTCCTCATTATATGTTAAAACCTCCTTTATGCTCCTCAGAGGCTCTATTGCAGAGTAATCTAATGGGGTTCCACGTATTCTCACACATAGATTGCTGCTCACTACGGACTTTTTCTTGATAAACTTTGTTTTCAAAGACCGAATGAAATGATTTTAAATGAATCAGTAACAAACATAGAAAATGTACCTGAAAGCTGTCTTCTCTTCTTACATCAGGAACAAAAAGATTAATAGCAACCTATAAATATAAACTTTATGAGCTACTCGTTTATTGCTAAAAGATAGGAAACAAAAAACGAAGAACAAGAACTAACCTCATCACGTTCCGCTACATATAGTTCTCTGCCTGGTTTTCTTTTTTCTGGTTTGAAATTGAACACATCATGTAGAAGTTCGTTTTCCTATTTCACGTATACCGTAAATTATGCCAATTATAATAAATGGGCATCTAGCTGGAGACCCTACTGCATCAAGGCTCGTTGCTACTTGCATACACCCTCCGTCCCAAAATAAATATCCACAATAAAAAAGGCACACGGTTTAAATGTGTGATATTACAATTTGTAATTAATAAATGACAATTTTGCCCTTAATAATAGAGGGAGTAACGAATTTATCCATCTCATAATTAAGAGTAGTATTGGAAAGTATATGCTTATTTTGGGTCAGACCAGAATAGCAACGTGGACACTTATTTTGGGGGGAGGGAGTATTTGCTAAGAAGCGTAACGGTTGCCCAGGGTACAGCCAACAATGAACATTAGATAAAATATAGACGGTGAAGGAAACCCCACCTTCATGTGTGCAACAAAACCGGAACCAAGCAAACGCTTCAGAAAATTAAGCTACATAGGATACAAGAGAGTAAAGAATCATGTGTTAAAAAATAATTACACTTTAGAAAAGCATTTCAAGAATACATTTGCAGGGCCTATGGCTTATGAAAAGAAATATACCTGAATTTGTTGAGGTAATGTGTTGACTTTTAATCTTTGTGTACCAATCTTTACAGAAATTTCCAGGACAAAGCCATCCTGAAAAACGCACACATTTCATTTGTAACCATGAAACCTCATCCCTAAACAAATCATATCATCGGCTGATGACTTGCAGTGATTTCCACCCCATGATGGTCGTGGGACCGGTGCGGTTGGGGCACTCCAGAGGATGGCGTATAGCGTATACCCTTTTTTTAAAAAGCATACCATAGATATAAAAATTGGAAGAGTTACCTTTGATACTTCCTCAACATCCATCTCCTCCATTGCTGATGCGTCACCCTCGAACTTCTCAAGGCACCCGAGTTCAAGTATTAGGGCTAGTGCTTGCCTAGCTCCAATGAGAATGGATTCATGGTCTGATTCTAGAAGATTCTTGAAGAAAGGAACCGCCCTAAACAATTTAGAAAGAACTTTTACATCTATGAACAATGACAAGTTCAAGAAAGTGAACTAACTAGAAGATTCTTGAAGGAACTGGAATGGAATTCAATCAGGTTTGACAACGCGTTTGAATGACAAGGGTGTGTTAGGGCTTGTTTGTTAGCAACTTAATGAGCTTAATAAGGCTCGCACTTATTCGGTTAGCTATACATGATTGTATGGTAGTGGCTTAATGCTATAGAAAGTGGCTTATTCAGTAAGCTTCTAGGAGGGTTTATATAGAAAGCCAAGTTTTTTCCAAACCTGTCTCTCTAATCAAAAAGCACGCTCTTCCCATCTATGAAAAAACTCTTCCAAACAAAAACAATCTATACAAACAGATTAATCCACACAGACAGCTTTATCCATACAGGACTTGATAGAAAACAAACCAAACTGCCCCTGGCAGGAGACAGATTCAAATGCGCTTCCAGGTTCCACATCTTCCAAAAGTAAAAAAATGAATCGGGACTATCATGAAGAAAATGAGTGTATGTATCTAATCACGAGATGTGCTATGAGATTTAGAACCAAAGATCGAGGAATACATCCAGTAAAAGCATGATAGCTGTAACTAGAAACCGCATAGATAAGATATTATGAATTACCCTCGCCAATGTTTGTAACTGAGACTCCAACTATCCATGGTACTCAGAAGTAGTGACCAAGAGAAGATTGCCGCACTTTGAGCTTCCTGTTTCAAAGCACAAAATACAATTAGCCGATTTCCAAATAATTAAGGAAAGATGTCTAACGACAATTAAGCGATCAAAATGATATTTATGAAATTTTAACAATATTTCCAAAACTGCATGTATAGCATTTGCCAAAAGTTTCCATGCAAATTACACGATCCAACACATTTGATCATGAACATGCCTTAATATCTGCTCTTGAATGCATGAAATGCCACATACTTTGCATAGATCTCTCGGTCTCTTCCAATTCATTTCCCCCGACGAAGGTGATAATAGCCAAATTATCCAAGATCTATCATAAAAGTCTTAAATTAGTAACAGTAAATTAAAAAAATGGAAATAAATGATCAATCTTTTCCTATAAGAATATAGGTGAGATACCATTAACCTTATATAAATATATCAAGATTGTTTGTAATTGCATACTAGTTTTAACTTCCATGGTTGAGACTCGGTGTTAAGAGCTTCTGAAAGAACCGGGAATGATTCTCTATATAGTTCACGACCATTTTCTCCACAACCAATGGTGATAGCTAGTAATCCTGGGAGAAGGGGGAAAACCAGATGGAGAAGGAAAGGGTTTATGAACATTTCCAAAGCATAAAAAAAAAGATGAAGAATAAAAGCAAACAAAATCAGACCAAAAGAATGCACTCTATCCCACCTGGGGAGGGTAAGATGTATGCATACCTAACCTCTACCCCAAAGAGTAAAGCGTCTTGTGAAAAGCGTAAGGAAAAAGAAAGATATGATAAAGTTTTGAAAAGGGAGCAAACCACCTAGGGCCTCAACAGCCAAATAACTCTCTTTAGCCGAACCCCTTTTCAAAGATTTCAAGCACTGGTAAAGTAATTCAGAGAAGCTGCAAGACCAAAAGAAACTTTTACTCGGTCAAAGAATTCAAGTAATGGTTCTCATTGAACATATACAATAAATCTAAATTACAAATTACTCGATGAATTTTTAAGTAGATAAAGGAAATACCAACTTTTTCTCAGAAAATTGGTATTGATAGCCAAGGCTATAACTCTGAACAATTGAAGAAAGTGCAGCCTCCCTCGTAGACCCCCTAAACAGTCAGATGATTGATCAAATTTAGCTCATTGAACATATATTGTAATCGTTATCTTATAAAAGGCACCTTTTCTCATATAATTGTTCCAAGAACTTGTTCAAACTCTTTGATCCCAGTTGAGCACTTGTACTTGTGCATTCGTCGATATCTGTATCAATGTCAGAACCGATAGCGAATTTCCCACCTTTTCGAGTCTCTGTAACAGAAGATTTAGCTTAAACAAGATGCATGGTACAAAACAATTCAAGAGAAGTGCTTCAAATATTTTCTTCAATTACATCACTCTAAAGAAAACTTTTCCCAGTCACTGTGGCTTGGCAAAAAACTTATGCATACTTATAATCGACAATTTAGACCATCATATTCCTGTGCTATAACATAGAAAGCTTGATTAAAAGCTCACATCCTACACATACATAACTACGGAAAATTTGCAGATTGGTGTCGGGTGTGCATTATCTTTGACCCTGTGTCAATAAAGGCACTCGCATTACATGGATCGTGGCAAATCCACGATGGGTGAACACACATTCCCATTCCAAAAGTGGACAAGTTGATAAAGTGCGATATCTACGCTTAATTGGGCATCTTATCTACCTAGCTTACACTAGACCTAACATCAGCGATATATATATATATATAGGGTCAGTTTCAAGGGAAAACCGCAAAAAATGAAAACTGAGGAACACCCTGGTAAGTGGTAACCGTCCATCTAGACAGTATGCACATTTGGATACAAGTAATTTGTAAGCAATTTGTCCGGTATGCACATGATGAATGGTTACCAAGGTGTTTAGTCGAATGGTAAAATTTCTCTTTGGCAAAGGGAAGACGCGGGTTCGATTCCACCCAAAATTACAATACCCGTAAGACCAATTTATATTCATTGATCAACTTTATAAGTTAACGATCTAATGGTCTAAAGTTGCAAGATGACAATTTTGTAATTATTGAGAAGTCWCGTKGCGTTTATGAATGTTCAGATCTGACAATTGTAAATCTAATCCAAGGGTTGAGAATTGGTCTTACGGGTCTCACGAACAACTATTGGTCTCATATGATCCCAAGTCTATATATTATATATATATATATAGGGTTGAGAATTGGTCTTACGGGTCTCACGAAAAACTATTGGTCTCATATGATCCCAAGTCTCTCTCTCTCTCTCTCTCTCTCTCTCTCTATATATATATATATATAGTATGTGTGTATAATATGTGTGTACTATGTATGTATGGGGTTCAGGTCGAGTGGAAAACTACAAAAAATGAAAACCTCCGAATAGTCATTCATGTACAATAGCACATTGCATAACATGCACAAGTGCATAGAAACTAGGAAACATCTTCAATTACTTGTATGCACATATGCATACCTACAGATGATTGGTTATTAGGGTGTTCCTCTCTCTCTCTCTCTCTCTCTCTCTATATATATATATATAGCCATAGATTATTTTGAGAAGTAAGTGATTTGATTGGTCAAGAATTGCATATTTGATTGGTCAAAATTTGCGGTTTTGCAAAATAAATAGAGGGGGTAGTTTCGTAACTTTTACAAATAGGCGGCAAACGGGTTCATATGTGAACCCGTGTGATCCACGTATGAACTATTTTAATTGATTCACATATGAACCCGTGTGATTCACATATGAACTAATTATAGTCCATATGTGAATCGCACGGGTTCATATATGAACCCGTTTTGCCGCCTATGTATAAAAGTTATGAAACTACCCCTCTATCTTTTGCATACCCATGTGAGAAATTATCCGGTGTTTTACAGTCAAAGACGCAAATGTTGACCAGATGAAAGACTAGAATCAGTTTTTTATTTCTCAAATATTTACCACTTCTCAAAATGAATCTTTCCCTATATATATATATATATATATATATATAGAGAGAGAGAGAGAGAGAGAGCACTAGGTTCATACGAGAATGGTACTTATTGAAGAAACTAAGAGAATGGTCGAATCACATGTGATTTTACACTAACATCACATACAAAATCACATGTGATTCACGCAATCTTGCCATGCGACCTTGCCACGCGGCCATAGAGTAGCCCGCACACTTTTTTGGCTGTTAATGTAAAATCACATGTGATTTTTGTACGTAATTTGGCAATTCTCTTATTTTCTTAAATATGTATCATTCTCATATGAACCTACTTCTCTCCCTCTCTCTCTCTCTATATATATATATATGTATGTATATATATATATATGTATGTATGTATATATATATATATGTATGTATAACTCAAACATATAGAAGAATTAGTTTTCTTCAAATCCTTCACGAAGTGATCCGGTGCCTATAAATGTTAGTTGAGTCTATATTTATTCTTTATTCTCCGCATTGTCTCCATTTAACTGTCAAAAGCATTGATCCAAAAATCCCATGAATCACATACTTTTCAAATATAAAATTTCCTTATTGAAAGATCATTGATTGAAAGACTACATATACATATATGGACCTTGATAAGAACCCTTTCTTCTCCTTCCCATCTTAAACTATAAAATTACGCTTCTGCCACCTCTCAAATCCTGCACAACATAAAACAACTTGATCTTAATTAACCCCATGGAAATTGGTCTGATTACAAAGTGAAACCCCAAACTCATGATGAAATCTAAACTTCAAGATTTGCAAAGCAATATATGATGTTATAATTAGAAACAGTGAAACCCTAATCGACTTACAGCGGGAAACGAAAGAAGAAGAAATCATAGACACCAACTTTGGGAGAGTGATTAAAAAAAGGAGCTTAATTCATTAGAACTCAACAGATAAGCGATAATGATAAAAGAATCGATGTACCTTTGAAATCAAATCCAGCAGCAGTCGTGATATGGGTTTGTATTTGCGGCTTATATCCATTATTATAACCAAGATTTTCAAAGTGTTGGGGAAGTAGAATCCTTTCGAGGTTCGATTTCTCGATATAAATCCGCTGAGGATGAAATCAAGAATGTTTTAAATAGATTTTAAATGTAAAAGTAATATATATATATATATATATATATATATATTAGTTGTGTACCGCGTAATGCGGCGGAAGCCATTAATTTTAATGATTTTGAAGTTCCACTGGTTTTATAAGATAAGATTTAACAATGATATAGTTACATTGGTATTTACATATTAATACAATTTGAATAAATAAGAGTTATGGTTTCAATTACATTTATAGGGGTATAAAGTGTAAATTTAAAATTATAAGTTTAAAAAAATCGGTTGTGAGAGGGTGAGTGTATGTGAAGAGAGGAGTTGATGAAAAAGTGATATAAAAAGTATCTTGATCATTTAGTATTTTTAAGACTTAACTTTTGTTAAATTTGTTTTATAAGATAGTATAAATATATATATATATATATAGAGAGAGAGAGAGAGAGAGAGAGATTAATGAGGGAGGGGGTAGGATGTGGTTGTGCTCTACAAGTCTTTTCATTAGGGGGAATTGAGAAAAAAAAAAGACAAAAATGAATGGTTTCTGTGTATGGGAGATGTACATATATAGATTTTGGGTGTAAATATAAATATAAAGAAATATAGATATAGATAGATAGGTGAAGGGGTTGCTGCTACCGCCACCCTAAACCTCAGTCCTTGTCAATTCTCATACATCCCTCCTTCATCATCATCCTCTCACATAACAATTTTTTAATATATTTTTTAATTTTAAAATTACATTTTACATCCTCCTCCATTGTGGCCGCTTTCTTCTTCTGTATTCATTGTCTGCTACCCATTTTACCATAGACCTTGTCTGGGTCAAAGTTGTTGGTCGATGATTGAAGCTCGTCGAAGGTGAACACCAGCGGGAGGAGGCTGGTGGAGCGATGGCGGTGGAGGTAAATAACCATCAGATCTAAATGTGAGTTCTTTCTTATTCTTCTAGAAATGTATGTACTTATCAAGATGAACAGTAGAAAACATAAAAATATTACAGCTAAAGACATCATTGCTACTCGTATTTGGGTTTTAAAACCTTCGGTGATGATTTTTGAGGTTGGATTGAGGATTGAAAGCATAAAAATGGTTTATTTGGGTCAAATGAATTGAACCCACAAATGCCATTGATGGATTTGAAAGTTGTGCAGTTTGAAAAGTAAGAATCTTTTTCTTCCCATTCAACTTCAATTCCAAATTTCAAGAAACTATCAAGAAACCCTAAAATGTCATATTGGCAGCCTTTTTTATAGAGTTGTGGAGGGTGAATAGATCCACAAGAACGGATAATCTGAAGTGGATTTTTGGTAATTTTACATTCCCATGGACAATGGCTGTAGTTTGGGAGGGTTGGGGACAGGCAATAGCTTATAACTGCATTCTTACTACTCTCTATCCTATTTTATTTCTTCATTTAAAATTGTTGAGACATGAGAAATATTCATACCATAGTCATAACCATTGTTTACTAAAACAGTCGAGGCTTATGTCAGTTTGCTGCATTACTCTTACATGCTCCATAATATCAATTTTGTTAGTCTAAAGAGGTATCAAGAATGCTTTTTTTGATATCAATAATGCTTTTTTTGCCAGATGCACAAAAATGAAATGGAAACAGCTAGCTTTACACACTGGATGCTCATTGATCAATATTCCAATCTACTGAACATCTTGCCCAATTAGTAGGAACAAGAATGAACCAGTAGAAATATGTTTAGAACACATACAAGAAGAACCAAAATATTCCAGAACATGGGTAGATAATGCAAACAGTAGGAATATAAAGAGAATTCAGAAAGCAAAATTAAAACCTCAATACCTCAGAGAAATTGCTAGGGTTTTGAAGAAGTTGTGAAGAAATCAAAACCTCAAAAGTCTGGTTATATGCACCGAGGAAGGCTTCTTGGTAACCACCAATTTATGCAAAGTTTGCAGCAATTGAAGAAATCATATGCTGACTTTACTTATTTGGTTTTGGTGCAGAACATACATCAACAAGAACCTGGAAAAGAAGAAGAAAAGAGAAAGCAATTTTGACTTTACCCAACTTGATTTGGCTTTGAAGGATATTTTCTGGAAAAGGAAGAGAAGAGAGAAAGAAGTTTGAACATTTGTCATTCAATGCATAAAAGCTTGTACTACATGCATGATGAGTTGTAATTAAGAGTTTTTTGAAAATCTTGCATAAAATAGTTGTAACATATGCTTAGTAACTTGTATTTAAGACTGTCTTAAATGGTTATATATGTAGTATATATATATATATAAACTTAATATCTAACCCGGTGTGACCACCTGCCTTGTAGATAGTCTGGAGTCACCGATTTTATTCATCATTGAATTTGAACCTAAGACTTTCTGATACTTTTGATATTTGGAGTCAAACTCAAACCAATCAGATACCACCCTTGTGGTAATATCAAAGGAAACAAATAGCATTAAATTTGGTACAAATAAATTTATTACATTAATTTGGTGTAAATTGTACGAGACAACTTGTGAGCTACTTGAAATCATTTTGGTTAAAACTTGGTCATCACTCTACTCGAATAAGCTCGGCTCAAACTCGACATCACATATTAACGAGTCGAGTCGAGTTATCTAATACTCAACTCAAAAGGCTTGTGAGATACTCGATTTTTTTATATATAATTAGTTTTATAATATAATATGTATAATATAATGTAATAAAAATGTCTTATATTTTTAAATATTTGAACAATATTGTGCATTTTTAACTATAAAAACTAATCAATAATTTTTTCTAACTAAAATCATAATTAAAAGAAGACAAAAAAAACTATAAAAGTTTTGATGAAGTTGTCCCACGTGTTAGTAAAAGAAGAATGAAGAGGTGATATAAAAAAAAGATGAATGAAATTTGTAACTTTGTTCTTTTGATGATTAAGTTTGAGGTGGATCCTTTTAATTTTTTAGTCATTTTTATCCCAAAATTACGAAAATAGTCATAGATCCATTGCTAGGTTCGTAATTACGGAGGGTTCAAAGTGTAAAAAAAAAATGAAGTTTCTAAACCATGTTTGATATTGCAGGGACCAAATATATAAATTTAGAAAAACATATCGCAATTACGGACATGTTTTTGTGGACCTATTAACTAATTTACGTATTTGGTTCTTTCAAAAACTTAAAAAAAATTTTTACACTTTGACACCTCCGTAAATTGTGGATCTGCCAATCACAGACCTGTGGCTATTTTTGTAGTTTTAGGAGAGAAATGACTAAAAGATGAAGTTCACCGATCAAAATGGCTATTTTAATTAATTTCCCCAAAATTAAACCCAAAATAATTTGAAATATAGTTGATACAAAATTAGAGTCAAACCGTATCTATTAAGTTGGATTTGGGTTAGGGTAATTCGAACCTAATTCAACCTGATATGTTTATATATTATGGGTTTAATATAATTGTTAAATCTTTTATTAATTTATGTACATTAGATATTAGACAAATCTGTAATTAGTTGTATTCAAAATTATATTATAATTTCAGCCATAATTTTACTTTTTTATTTGCATTGGCTTTCAAGTTTTTTTAGTTTGTTAGTTTTTTTTCTTCTATATTCTCATTTTGATTTTTTATTAACCTGGATATCCAATCCGCTATGCGAGCCAACTAATCCCATGGCAACCACCTGCTTTGCAGATAGTCCGAAGTCACGGCATTTGAACCTACATGGTCACAAGAGGATTTTTATTTCTCATTGGATTTGAACTTGGGACCTTCTGGTACTTTTGACCTTTGTAGTCAATCTCAAACCAATCAGTCACCACTTGTGGTTCCATTTTGATTTTTCTTCTAGCTAACACAAAAGTTTAGCTAGATTGTAAAATAATTTACCAAAATTTCAACCCGACCAAACAATCCAACCCGCACGATTTGGGTTCGATTAAGTTATAGTTTTATGTAGATTTGGTTGAGTTAAGATTTTTCAAATTATAAACATTGTTTTGAGTTATTTTAATATCTTCAATCTGGCTAACACAACCCATATGCAGCCCTTATGACAAATTTATCTCCCTATAATTTTATGATAAAATTATTCTTTTTATTAAGGGAAAAGTTCAAACAAAAAAAACAACAAACTACCCCATTTTGAATGATTAAGTCATTAAAATATTTTATTAAATGAAAAAAACCATTAAGTCTTCTCAATTTGAATGATTAAGTCCATAAACTATTTTTTTGAATGAAAAAACCATTAAACGTTATATTTTTGAATGAAAAAATAATTAAACTTTCTCATTTTGATTGATTAAGTCACTGAATAATTTTTCAATAAATAAACCATTGCACTTTTAAAAATTAGTTACCTACATCTTTTTAACAAAAAAAAAGTTACTTTAACCGACTAATAAGTTTATTTATTTAAAAAAAATTAAAGTCTTAATTAATCAAAATATAAAAGTTGAATGTTTTTATTCATAAAAATAGTTCAGAGATTAAATATTCAAAATAATAAAGCTTAATGATTTTTTCATTTAAAAAATAGTTTAGAGACTAAACCATTCAAAATAAAAAAATTATTATATATTTTGGACTTTTTCTTTTTATTATTTAAAAGGTATGATAATTACATATTTTTAAAATTATATCTTTTTTATCGTGAATATTTATTTTTTTATATTGTTATATAAAAAATCATTGGAAAAAATAAATGTATTTAAAAAATTTATATTAAAAAGTGAAGATTTTATTTTTAATGTAGCTTTTTAGGGTTTTTTCTTTTTTTTCCTTTTTTTAAATAGGACAAATTGCATGAAAAAATAACGTACTTTCAAAACTTTTATTTTGATATTTAAGATGTAAAGTTTTAAATACTTAAGCACTTGGATAACCGATTGAAGCATTAAACGGTTACCATGTTGATGTGACGAGTGATGTTGTATCCGGTTAATGTTTCAATAAATAATACTGAGTTGGATATCACATCAATATGATAATCGATTAATGATTCAACCGGTTACTTAGAATTAAAATTGATACCACAATCCACATGAAGCATAAGATTCTAAAAACAAATACCATCACTCCATTCCAATCCTTTTGAAATGGGTTCTTTAATCAAACAAAAATACACTTAAAAACCATTCAATAAACACATCTGTTTTTTAGATCATCGTCTAAAATCTATTTTAAAACCAAATATTGCTTCTTTTTTCTGTAGAGAATGGGACTTCAATTGATTTATGGTCCTATTTACACACCCAGCACCGATCAGCAATTCAGGGACCAGTCGTAGTTCTGGTAAACGATATGCACAGCACCCCCATCACCTAAAAGGTGCGACAACAACCCCGCTTTCGTTGCATCCAAGTACCCGATGATCCACTTTAAGATCTCCTTTTCCTGCCCGAAATCCACACTAAACCTGAGAACCAACAAACACAATCTTAGTCTGTGACTAGCTTATTGACTAACTTCTAACTTTTCAGCTAAAAGCTAGCTTCTCGGCTAGTTTGCAGGTGGTTGATGCGTTTGGCTTACCACTTGAAGATACGAGTGAGGTGCACTGTCCTCTTAGCGAGATCCACTTGGATCCCGTCGTTCTGTAAAAACTCGCGTGCAGAAAATCTTAGTTCAGATTCGACCGCTTGGGGGGTAAAGAATCTCACCGGCGGGCTTGATTTGGACCCGTTGCAGATACCAAAATGAATCAATGGGTTAACTTGTGGGAAAGCCAGCTGCATAAGGAAACAATGGGTTCATGTATACGGGATCATGGGGAGAACAAGCGTAAAACATGATTTGGTGGAATCATACCTCTAATCGCTTGTCGCCAGAACCAAAAGGTTTTGTGAACGAGTAAGGTGGTCTGCGGTTATTTCTAAGAACACCATTAACGATTGTTGTTAGGGAATACGGGAAGCCTCCAATAACATAGATGAAATCGGAATTGAAGGATCTCCTATCGATTACAGCAGCCCCAGGATGGCCGATGCTGATAACAGCATGAATGACCATGGCATTGTGTAGGTTAAGAAAGAAGGCAAGCCTCTCGGAAACTGATAGTGTCGATATATCCACCCTTTGAAGTTCTTGCGACAGATTTACATATCTATGATCAAAACATGCAACAATAATCAATAAGCATATGCAGAAGATGTTAGTCATTATGATAATACGTGGAAGGAAGGGAGGTTTTAACATATATTAAGGACAAATGGTTCAATCTAGCTGATGTGGGACTCTAACAGTTGTTAGTTAGAAATACCTCCGGAATTCCTCACTGTTGCTGATGCCCAAATAATCAAGATTGCAGCCGTCTTCAGAGGCGTATGATTCAAGCATCGCAGACATAATCTTGGTGAGTTTTAGGCTAATTGTACTAGCAGACTTTGGCTCGAGATCGTTAGTACCTCGGAAGTTGTAGCATCGAGGAATGAAAGGCTCGTGCTCAAGAAACCGATAAAAATGGTTTCCATCCTCGAATTCATTTTCCCTGTTTGCACAAGCAGCATGATTGATCAGAAGCTGCAATGCTAACACCCATAGTTTTCAACATATACGAAATAGAAGAATCATGATGTTACCCGAAAACGTGATGGATAAAATGTCTTCTTGCTAGCTGCTTCCCCATCTCCACAGCCTACATAACACCAACAATCATCAATTCATTATGAAACAATATAAGATCAACTGTAATCTGTATATATCCGTGTTTCTATAAAAAGCTGTTCAAAAGGATCCCCGTATCTTAACACAACCAAATACTGGTCTAGAGGGAGGTTCCGTTTAGAAACCTCATTTTCATTGAGAACCGATAACCACAAGATCATGTCACGTGTCCATATTCATCATGCTCTTAGATGGTTTCCGAATTCTCAACGAAAATGAGGTTTCACATAATATATATATATATATATATATATATATATATATATATATATTAAATGATGATTTTTACCATTTTGAAAGAGGTACAAGATCCAGCAGAGCATGCAAGGAATTCATGATTCATGTTGGCTCTAAAGAATCAATTGGGCAGTGAACCATGTGTCATTAATGATGACTTTAATGTCCTTTAAACAAACTCTAATCATTTACCCTAGCCCTAGGTATATAAGATTCTCTTATTTAACCACAAGGGTGTACTTTATCGGTTTGAACTTGCCTTCAAAGGTCAAAAGTACCAGGAGGTCTCAGATTCAAATCCAAGAAGGAATAAAAATCCACGTGTGGCCACGAATGTTAAAATGCGATGACTCCGGACTATCTATAAAGCAGGTGATCGCTCTGGAATTAGTCGGCTCGCATAACGGGTTAGATATTCAGGTTAATAAAAAAGATTCTCTTATTTCAATACATCTTACAACTCTTTATGCATCATATACAAATTATTAGTTCCATTTGGACAAATCCATCCATCAATAATGCCAACTCTTTTTCTAAATTACGTTTTATAAGAAAATTGATCAATTATTTGTCTTCAATTAAAATTAATCCAAAAATAAAAATGCGATATTGCCCTTCTAACCATTAAACCATAATTTTCATTCTAACCGTAACCCAACTCTATTTAAGTAGTTAGGTCAACGCTATCTTAGGATACTTTGTATCTTAAAGTTTAACGACAAATGGATAGCAATCATCACCTACTTCGCCGTTACTCAAACAAATGGTATATTCCTAACGAGAAATTTTATTAAAAAATAGTAATTAATATATTATTATTTCAAACTGTTCGTGATCATCGATATGCAAACAAATTAACGATGACGAGGAAAGAAACAGAAGAAGCATGATAGGCTGCGATGCACGGAATCAATAATAGAAAGCAAAAGTCAAAGAAAACACGATACCTTCTTCCTCCCGCAGTCAAACTGCTGAATCAAAACCTCCACCATCTCCGACGAGGAGAAGCAGTTCTTTACGATCTTCATCTTCATCAAACGGTCTTGAATCGGCAACTTCTGCCGTAGTACTCTAACAGCCGCAACCATCTCGTCCATCTTTTCATCCTCCGGATCGTCAAATCCGTACACCGGTGGCGCAGGAGCGTCGTCGGGGCACTTGCGGCAAAGCAACTCCTTCATCCTCTCATCCAATAATCCACAATTTCTCAGCGAATTTAACGCCACCAGTCCGCCGAAGAGTTTCTCGTTGAAAAAGATCTGAGGCACGGCGTTGCTTCCAGTCCGTTCGATCAACTCCTTCTCTCTGGTTGGGTACACGTCGATGTTGATCTCCACGTAGCGTAATTTCCGGTCCCTGAAAAACGACCGAACGGCCGTCGAGTCTCTGCAGTTTGATCGGGAAAAGAAGGTGATTCGTCCTTTGAACTGCTCACTTTCGTCCTTTTCGTTCTTAAGCTTTACTGTCACTTTGAGTCCCGATAAATTGAACTCTGTTACGTTTGAACTTTTCTGTTTTTCGGAAACGACGTCGTCGTTGTCCGTCAATAACGATAATCTCCTCGTGAACGCCGCCGATAAGCTATTACTCTTCTCGCGAAAGAATTTCCCAATCGCTGGTATGTGTACGGCATCGGAGACACTTTCCGGCGTGGAGTTCGATCGTTTGATTGAAGGAGTCATCTCCGTTTTCTCCGCCTCCTCCGTGTTAGGAATGAGGACTCCCGGTGGTGCTTCCGGCCTTGGGAGCTGCGGATGTGGCGGAAATACCATAGTCTGTTCAACATCTCCGCCATTCCCGTTGTTCCTTAAACCCTCGCCGTCGTCTAACGCTTCTTCCTTCTCCTCTTCTTCTACATGGATCTCTCTCTTCTCAATCTCATCTGAACCACCATCTCTGTTATCACAATCACCCACAGAAGAATCTTTCAAATCAGCCTGCTCTGTATTTTGATCTCCGCAATCACCGCCGTTTGTTACCTTGTCGTTTTTTTCACCATCCGGCGATTGAGGATTGAGGTGGATATCAACGGCGGTTGCTATTTGCACTCCTCCTCCGTCAGGTAACCCCATCTCTATTAATTTCCAAACGACTGAAACGGGGAGATGGAAATGAGAAATTGAGAGGGGTGGTGATATCGGAGGAGGAAATATATGAAGGAGGGGGGAGGGGGGAGGGGGTCAAGGGGAGCTTGGTCAGCGGGGGAAGGTGGAAACGGACAAACGTGACCGGCGGGGTCCGGCGACGGTACTTAGATTAGATTAGATACTAGGTGGCAGACGATGAGTAATTAATACTACCATCAGGACCATATTTTTGGTGGTTTTAATTTCCATAAAATGCCCCCAAAATCTTTTATTTATATAAATAAATATTTAATATAATCATCATAATACGATTCTTTCAAAAATATATATAGAAGGGATATAATATTATTTTTTTAAATTTATTTTCTCTTGTGAGTTATTTATGTCGAAGAAATATTAAGAAGTAGGTATAGAAAAACAAAATTAACTTTTTTTTAGGAGTGTGTAGAAAATCAATCGTTCCAAATGGAATCGACTGATCCAATTAGAACCGATCGATCATAATTGGATATCTAATTGTAATTGAATCGGATCGGATTAAAATTTTCAACATCTAATTTTGAACGGTTTGTTTTCGGATGGCAGTTCACAACCGATCAACATCAAATTAATTTATTTTCAAATTGCTTAAATTAGAATTTGTTTTATGTGAGACTTTGAATTTTTAACTTCCTTGTGTTGGCTTTAACACATATTAAGAGTGATTAATCAATTTGTATCATTGTTAGAGAATTAGATTGAATTAACACAGTAGATGGATCCAATCCCCATGGAGCATCCAATGAATGGAACCGAACCGACCCGGCCCAATCATCTATTGGACTGAATTTGATCGGTTATCCAATGTAACTGGATCGAATCAGTTAACAAAATCCAACATCCAATAGATGATAGAATAGGTTTGGTTCCCCTCACATCTAATAGATGTCAACCGACGAACAGTCCTACCTTTTTCTTCGATTAACAATAACAAAATAAAAGGATCGATGAAATATATTTAAAACGGATAACGAAGTGAAGGTTCTATCACTGCTTTTAAAACCGTACGAATTCATAAAACGAAACCAAAAGAACTCAAAATGTATTTGTTCGAGTCACATACGTGTTATTGCTGTCGAAATATATGGTTTATCAATATTTATCAAAGGGAAAATTGCACCAAAATGGAACCAACTTTCACCTGATTCCTATTTTGGGGAACCAACTTTCAAAATCGTCATTTTGGGGAACCAACTTTCACCTGATTCCTATTTTGGGGAACCAACTTTCAAAATCGTCATTTTGGGGAACCAACTTGCACCTAATTTTTATTTTGGGGAACCAACTTGAAAAATAATTATAGAAAAATGGGAAAATTACACCAAAATGGAACCAACTTTCACCTGATTCCTATTTTGGGGAACCAACTTTTAAAATCGTCATTTAGGGGTCTCTATCGAAMTTTTTGTTTATTTAAGGGTCTGATTGATCTATTGAACATGTAACAGATAATTTAAGGGTCTCTATCAAACTTTTGGTTGGATTTGCCAAATTTGATTTAAACTTTAATATTGACACAAATTGGTTATATATAAAAATCTTGAATGTGATATTTAATATTTATTTTTTATTGCATCAATTAATTTTTTCTATTAAATTGATTTTTTATTGCATTAGTAAAAAACAATTTTTATCGTGGTAATTTGGATTTTTTTCGAAAAATCTTCAATTTGATATATGAATTTAAAAAAACGAGATTTGAAATGAAAAATAGATTTTATTGCATTAATTTTTGAAAAGAAATGAATTTTAGTTATTTTTCTATAATTATTTTGCAAGTTGGTTTCCCAAAATAGGAATCAAATGCAAGTTGGTTCCCCAAAATGACGATTTTGAAAGTTGGTTCCCCAAAATAGGAATCAGGTCCAAGTTGGTTCCCCAAAATGACGATTTTGAAAGTTGGTTCCCCAAAATAGGAATCAGGTCCAAGTTGGTTCCACAAAATGACGATTTTGAAAGTTGGTTCCCCAAAATAGCAGGTGAAAGTTGGTTCCCCAAAATAAAAATCAAGTGAAACTGGTTCCCTAAAATGACGATTTTGAAAGTTGGTTCCCCAAAATAAAAATCAGGTGAAAGTTGGTTTCATTTTGGTGCAATTTTTCTTTTACCAAAAAAATATTTAAAAAATAAAAAGAAATATATAGATTGTTTGACCAATTAAAAATGCTTGATTTTTTCTTAAAGTTGACTTTGGTCTTTAATCATGGTTTATACATGGCAAATGGTTGGTAGGAAACCATGTTCGTCTACGGGGTCATGACCAAACATTTCGATCAAAAAGAAATTATGGGTTGTTTACTAAACGCTTACCTGATAAATGTTTATTGGGTAATTTTTTTTATCAGATGAACATGACAAATGTCAAAAATCTTATCAGGTAAGAATAATGATAAAGATAAAGTCTTACTCAGTAAGTGAGAGTGACGACTCTTACCCGGGTAAGCGCTGATCAGACAAATTATTGCATACGATACAATTTTGATGTACTACAATCTTACCTGGTAAAATAATTTACAGTGTTGAAACGTTTATCGGATAAGCATTTAGATAGACAATCTCTTACTGTTAATTTTATGTTTTTGAGTTATTTTTAGGAAGTAAAGAAGGAAACATAAAGAAAATAATGATGACTTTCCTTCCAAAAATAATAACAATTGGAAATATTTAAACCAATCAGTTACAATTTATCGAATTTTTTTTATAATGGCAAGGAAGAAAAATGAAAAAAAAAACTTCTAAAGGAAAATAATAACAATTGAATACATTTATACTGATCAATTACAATCTGTCAAGTTTTTTTTTTATGATGGAAACAAAATCAAATAAAAATAATGCTGATTTTCCTTTCAAAGCAAAGCATTTCTGGTAAAAAAAACTGAAAATATTTATAGCTGTCATTTACAATCTTATATAAAATAAATAAACATATATTTGTAAAAATTACATATTTCATTTTATTTACCTTTTACTAAGAGAATATAAAAAAAAAATCACTTTCCTTTAATTCATTTTTCCCTTCCTTCTCAATAACATAAATAAGGAAAAATAATAATAATAATAGAAATAGCCATTTTTAAGCTTTAAATTTATCTTTTAGGGGTTGTTTGTTTACCTTTTAATGGTGCTATTAAAATACAGCATCTGAATCTTTAAGAGGCGAACCTTGTTTGGAAAAAAAAAGTTTGTATTTTAATGATTCTAAAACTCTCTGAATGATTTTGTATCATAGGTCTCCCTTAACCATCCAACGTCATAATTTTATTGTAAACAATTACCAGACAATTATATTTCATTTTGCACTATGTTATAAGAGTCTTCTAATCATTGCGACCACTTAATCATTCTGCACCAAACCATTCAGCAACTGTCAAACAGTCCCTTAGTTATTCTCTTCCCAAATAAATTAGATAAAGATCGGCAATTCTGTCACTTACGAAAGTGTTGAGACTAATTTACAAATCTGGTCCCTTCATTTACAGACCTGGTTCATATATTATTTTTTTTTGCAATTTAATCCCTCTGCAAGTTGAAAAATGATTTTGGAATTAAAAGATATTATGTTTTATAATTTTTTTATATATATATTTTACAAATACAAAACAAAACCTGGGTTCCATCCCATATCCTCGATTAACCTCAGTTGTTGGGTGAACGAAAAAATAATTCTTTATATTAGTTTTTTAAGAGACTTAAAAGTTACACGTGCAATACAACGAGATACATATCGATGTTAATGTTTCATTTTATTCTATCTCTATCGATGTCATAATACAATTTTATGTGGTTTTAAGAAAGCGATAATGTTTTTATTTTTGAACAAAATATAAATTTGAAGATATCATAAAATTTTGAAGAAAAAAAATAACATAATATAATTTTTGGTTTAATAATATAATTTTTTAAGTTTAATAACGAAGCAATTTATTTTTCATATAATATTATAATTTTTTTATAAAGATAATAAACTAAGTATTTTGTTATAACTCAAAGATCATCCTAATTATATTATATATTTTTTATAATTAAAATGATATATTTATCATGTATTTAATTATGTTTATCTACAGTTAGTTACACGAATTCAAACATAAAATTTTAACAAGTTGTAGTTACACACAATCTATTTGTAATATTCAATTTTTATGTATCAATAAACAATATTTCATGCTTCCTTAAAAATCTTTCAAATTGGAAGTCACATTGCATCTCCATAGGCGGAAGATTTACTCTGATCCAGTCGGTGTTATCTTCCCTTCCGATGTTCTACTTTTCTCTTTTCAAAGCGCCCAACTCAGTTTAAAAAACTTTGGAATCTATAAGGAGAACATTTTTTTGGGGATTTAAGGAGGATGAAAAAAAATTACATTGGGTTGCTTGGGAGAAAATTTTGAGCTTCTAAGTCAAATGGTGGTTTGGGTATCGTTAGTTTAAAAGCTAAAAATGACGTTTTGTTAGCAAAATGGGTCTGGAGGTTCATGTCTAGTTCTAATGCGATATGGAAGGATGTCATTTCTGAATTTTATGGTGAGGATGGTGATCTTTTTTCAAATAGGCCTTTGGTTGGAAAAAGCGTACGGGTTTCTATTATCAACACTTGCAAAAATGTGGAGGTTGCAGGTCAGAATGTTATCCAATCGTTTTTTAAAAAGGTTGCTAAAGATTCTTCTTCTCTTTTTTGGAAAGATGCGAGCATCGGTCAAGGCTCAAAGCTGAAAGACCTATTTCCTAGACTTTATGCCATGAAAAGGAATAAAAATGCTTCTTTCAAAGAAAGATGGACTTATATTAATGGTTCTTGGAGTGGTGCTTGGGATTGGAAAAAGCCTTAGAAAGGCAACTCTCTCAAGTGGCTTTCAATACTTCAGGTGAGGATATGTGGTATTGGAATTGGAACAAGAAAAGGATTTTCTCGGTCTACTTCTTGTCCAAATTAATTCAAGGGGCGGTTGATACAAATGTTGGAAGCAATGAACCATGTTTTTGGAGT